TCCCTCCCCTCGTTACGATAACTATACGGGATATGTTATATGATAAAGTGATGAATCCAATCTTTCCCTCCCCTCGTTCGATAACTATACGGGATATGTTATATGTACCTTGGTGATCTCATTGTTTCCACCGATGACTTGTTTGTCAAACACATTAGCCTTCTGCATATCTTGGGACACATCTACAACGAATCATATGACAAATGAATTAACACTGTTAAGAGTACAGCATGGATACAGCTGTCACACTAGGCCGGCAGCGACACTACAAAGCACCAAGTCGGCTTAAGGTACGGCAACTGAATTGTAAGAAATGGACGAATAAATATATGAATGGACAGATGAAGAGATGGATGACTAGTTTATAATTTCAACTATTCAACTTTATCATATGTGTGAATTCTTTTAAAATAATTGTACTTCTTTCTCAGAGGACATGCCTGCTGTATTCAAGCGATGTGAAATGTTAATAAATAGTTATCGTTTGATTTATATATATGTACTTGTAGATAACTTGTGTCTTTGCTTTAAGAAATACAAATAATGAAAGTACCAAAGAAACCAAAGAAAAAATCGTGCTCCTGGAAGGTTGTAAATTCAATGGAAATATGATGTATATATTCAATTTCCATTATGTTTACAAAGGTTGTAAATATCACGTAAATGTCCAAAATGATGGAAATATTACTTACATCAAATTTAAATCGTTTTTACATCGCGTTTTTTCATCAAATTTACAGCGCGATTTTTTCCAGTGTGAGCGGCAGAAGAACCAAATCACGACAGAGCATGACAAATGGACACTAGAAGTTTCTTACCGAGTCTGTTTGTGACAAATGGAATGGGTACAGTGTCGGGATAGTTCGCCTTTTTACCCAGGAACATCTCACTAGCTATGAGCTTCAATGTCATCTATAAGACAAAACAATCCAACATTTACAATTGACGGAATTATTTGAAGTTAAGACCGCGAGGAGCATATTTACAATTACCASTTTGGTTTCTAATTAGCAAGATGCTTTTGTTAGGCGTAAAGATATTCGTTCCGCAAAGTATCTCTAGCAAATTGGATCAAAGACTCAAATCAAGTTAAACTTCACACAGTATTCAAGTCAAAGTGTTGTTATACAATAAGTTAGTATATTGTTAAGTACCTGTGCCTTACGTTCAGGTCTCATCTTCTTCACGTAGTTGTTGAGCAAAACTCGACTGTGAAGAACGTGCAGTAGATCTGAAGCCTGAAATAAGAAATCACAATATAAATAAAAACTGTACACATTTTAGTTATAACTTACCGTACGTAACGCATCTTTTTTCGTAAGTAAGCTTATGCAGGGTTTTACAGCTATAGTAAGTGCGTTCAGGGCGTATCTAGCATTCGCCATTTAGGGTGTCCTTACACTCAAAATAGTCGCAATGACGTCATATGACAGCATTATGACGATATACCTATCCATTTTTTAACTGACAAAGTTAAGTTTAACTAATTCTTATGTTACGTTATTTTGTTTTTGAAAGACGGGGGGACGGGCATCCTGTGATCTTCAGTTATAGGGGAGCAAGGATGGCCGAGCGGTTAAAACGCCGGTCTATCACCGCTGTGGTCCTGGTTCGATTCCTGGTACGGGACTATATAGGATTTGAGTTTGTAGGCTGGTTCTCTTCCTTGCTCCGAGGTTTTTTCTCCAGGTCCGCTGGTTTTCCCCCCTCAGTCAAAAACTAGCTGTGAGGAGTGTCGTGTAGTAAAATAATGAATGTTGAGGTAGTGAGTATGAGTGAATATATAGAGGGCCACAAGTTTATTAGTCTAGAGACTATTACGTGCTACCCTCTCAAAATAAAAGACTTTACTTTTTACTTTAGTTTGTCGATTTCCGAGTACAAATAGTATCAGCAACATGACAAGGAGCCTGACATGACTTACTTCTTGCAGYGAGGGAGGGGATTCTGGCCATGACTTGTCCAACAAGGATTTAGGCAGRTTCCTGGACAGGTTAAGAAGGAAYGACATGCGTACATACGCCAAAAACTAAAAGATAAACAAGTCTTTATGATTTTCATTGGTTCATTTAACAATTAACATTATAATCATGTTACTCACCAAAATGTTGTCTTCGTTAGCTTCTTGATTCCTCGTTATGAAGCCTCGAATGAATCTAACAACAAAATAAGTACATAAGAACCTGGAGAAAGTCTCACCAACTAAACGCCGAATAAAAGATGATTAACAAATCAAGAAAATATACATGTCTGCTAGAGGTCAATCCTCTTTCGCAGTAGCGATATACAACTAAAAAGAAACAAGGATAGAAAATAGTGCAAAAAAAATGAAAGAAAGAGAAAACAAATGAATATAAATTAGRAATTAGGATAGTCAACTAAAATGTTTCCTTTGTATGATTAACTCTTAGAATATACACTGTAAAAGTGGATCAAYTTGCAGAGTCTGTAAATTCACTGTAAATTATTCAATTTACAGAAAAACTTTGTAAATTGATTTTACAAGATATTTACAGAATGTACATAAAATTTACAAACTTTGTAAAAGAACATTTTGTCTGTAAATTGAATTTTCAGTATATTTACATATTTTTTTACAAACTATTTAAGCTAATCAACTTTTCCAGTGACTAAATTGAAGAATAAACAGTTTTCTTACCGCCGTATCACTTGMGCACCGTTCTTTCTTCGCGCCAAAAGTCTCTCAGCTTTGAATCTCTTCCAGTGAGCGCCGACAGTTGTAACAGCCCAACGAGCAAGTTGAAACTTTCGTCTCGCATTGTAGCCTCGGAAACTTGTCTGAATGATAATCGCTAAAGAYAACCATGAATGATAATAAGCATGTCTACATGAAACAACTCTATTCTAAACTTTCTTCAGCTAATGGAACCCAGAAACTGCAATGGYTGGCACAAAGTCGACAAAACCGATCTTTATACCATAAATAAACCATAGTGATGTCATTTGATGAATATAAGATGAGGAGAGGTACTAAGCCATGTGGGATAGAATCGGAAATCATGCGAGAGCATGCCTTATAAGCATATAGTCTCGTAATTTATATATTATGATTGTTCTCATCCGACAAAAAAGTTATTAGATGTCAAATGCTATCATATCCTAGGTAAAGAAAATAATTGAGAAGCTACCTATTAGGAATATTAGGTGATAATATATTTATGATCAAAATGATAAGAAATTTGATTGGGTTGCAGTAACGTACCGATTTCATTCTTTTTAACTTGATACATGTCCTCAATAGTGAACAGAGACTTGGGTGATCTGATGAATATCTTCGTCCTGATAAACAGAAACAGTTCATAGTGTACTAACATATACACCCTATTGAAAACCGTCGTCGGGCTCAATAAGGTCCGGCTCATACGCCGAGCCAGCGTCGCGCCGAACCAAAGTTTGAATTTTTTTTTTTGCTTAAAAGCACATGAACAGCTCGATGTAGTTCGGCGCGACTGTAGCACGGCAGTGGCCGCGCCAGTCGTGCTGCACSACAAAAGCTCGACGCTGATTCAAACGTCGAGCTATTGCCGTGCGGAGCTTAACTCACAAAAATATTTTTTTCGAGAATAATAATAGATGTAAATTGCGTGTTATCGGATTTTTTTCTTATGCTTCTAACTGCATTTGATGGGACTTATGAATCAACGTCGTACGGGATGTATTTGGGTCGACATCAATTGACTATTTGGTTCGACGCTGGCTCGACGTATGAGAACCGGGCCATAGTTGACTGACATTAAGCAAGCTAAACCCAAAGGGGATTATGGGTAAAGGAGGATATTTCAATGATAAACATTTACATAATTGACATTTGTTGTTTACCACAATGGATGTGTGGGAAGTGAAGCAATGTTATTATACACTGATTCGAATTACTTGTCTTCCCGTGCTGCCTTTCGGCAATATACTTTCGATTCTATGGATTAACCTTTTCGACTATTGTTCTCAACAGGCCATTTACAACTACCAGAAGGCCTTGCGCATTGTATTCGTTGTTCAGAGTTTAGCAAAAGAATTTGTACTAATTACTTACAATAGAAAACGGGTATTCTGGTAGTTGATCGCCATTAGGTTTACATGTGCTACTTACTCTCCTAGCTTGTATTCGTCGGATTTAAAGCCAACATGATTACATAGAGTTTCAACTCCATCTTTGGGTTCACCTGAAAGACAGATTCAAGCATTTAACACGCTGTTATATTGAAATTACTCAGCGTCTATCCCGCACAGCCCACCCGCCGAGTTTAGTAACTATAAATCACATTGGTTTATATGAGAACAGACTTCATGCCTCCATGCAATAGCGACTTTTCGCATCTTATCTTGTGTGAAATATCTTGTGTACATTACATGCATAAGCTTCTTACCATCCCAGACAGGCCATGTTGCTGGACACAAACACTTGTACCTACAAACAACAATTAATGTATACGTTATTACAAATCTCACACAGACMCTAATCAGCAATGTAAATCATTGTTTATGGTACCCTCCAAGAATTCCTACTTGAAAGATCTCTACCAACATTCTTGATTACCTGTTAAGGAAGTAAGTATGATGTCTTCGGTAMGCAAAACCAGCTCGTCGAACACGTAAATTCTCCATTAATCCTAGATACTTGACTTGATGCCTAATGAGCTGGTCGTCAAACTTGCCTGCGTATTATAGTAATATGTTTATAAATTTTGTAACTATAACGGCCGAGGAAGAAAGGCCCATGTTCATCCAAGAACTTTCATGCATAATTCTCTCACATACGCCCAGTCACCATTTTGGAGAATTTATAGACAATCTCAATCTCCTGTGCTCAGTTTTTGTACTTTTATGCGTTTTTCCCCATTGTTTTTTTTTCTTTTGAAGAGGATTGCCCTGTCACGTGCTGAATTTTGAACCAATCAGAAAGCAACTCTCAGCATAGGTCTTTTTCAAAACAAAGCAAACAATCGCAAAGGTTCATGGATGCAACTGGGCCTTTAGGACTCACTTAGTCACAATACGGCATTATAATACTGAGAAGACCTGTCTTTTAGTTCTAGTAAAAATATATAACCAGAATAATCTCGGCCAGAAGAGCCAGAAAAGCGGTCATTACATGATATCTGGCCATATACTTTTATGAAGTAGAATCTATTAAAGTGTCAAGGAATGTGGCTTTTTTACCTGATCTTTTGGAATCGTTAGGTTTGATACATCTGACATACGATGGCTGTTTGCTCATCAGGATTGACATCAAATGGTTAAGACTCGTTTTAAACTGGGTCCCAGCCTATTCGTTGAAGAGTACGTCTTAGAAGACTAAATGAATTCATGACAGACAAATGTGAATCATAGAAAAATGAAAAAAAATGGAAAAATGAATGGATACATGGAAGAAGTAAAAAAGGGGAGGCGGAGTACGACCCGAATCAACACTCACTGTATCTGGTCTCTTTAGTGACAACATTTCTTCCTTGGGAAACATTTCTGAAGTGATAATATTGGTGCTTTGACACATGGCCTGAGGAAATCAATGACATAAATAGGACAAATCAATCACGGTTCTTCGTTGCACTGTTTCATTCTCGATGACAACATGTAAGGACAACATGTGTATTTGAGGCACACGTATTTCGATCCTGTTGGCATGAGATATGGTGCCCCTAGTAGTACAACCAAACTGTTTTGTGTTCTCTGGAGGGATTAAAACAAAATGTTTTATCTCTACTATTAAGAAYATCGGACACGACTTTCGATGATCTCCTTTCCTAAGGACGTCATGTTTAGTTTGTTGAAATGCATCATGTGGTAAGAATGGTTTGTATGCAATAAATACCTCTTTAAGATCCCTGAATAAGAGGTCGTTGTTCTTGTCCACAAAACCTACACCATAAGAAATCAAAGGAAGTAAAATTATAAAAAATGATTCAGTATAAAATATGATGGAAAAATCAAAAATACGAGGAATTAAAAATGAGACGAACCTGTCACATTGTATGTCACGTTACCAGCGTAGTGTTTCAGTCTGAATTCCTATAAGGAAATTGACACATCAAAATTGATGAATTATAATAGACGAGAAAAGATTGAATTAACAAAAAGAAGCCCTAATCAATCCTTCCAAAAATGTTTTAGGAGTGCAGTACTTACATCTCGCCCCAGGGCCTTTCGATCAGCATAATCACCAGTAGCATGGCTACAAAATAAAAAATAGAAATATGAATGAAAATGGATAAACATTTAATGGTTGGATAAATGGGACAAACGAACGAAAATATGAAATAAAGAATGGATGAAGTGATACCATACCTAACAAAATGATCATGTTCTCCAATGGAGGATTCAAGTTTAGTTAAGAACGTACTATCAGACACCTGACCTGGTCGAACACACTCTTCGTCCTGTGAACGACATCACGTTAATACAAATCAGCTTYGTCTCATTCTAAGACAGCTAAAATCTCTGTGATAAAAGGTAATGACTCACGAGAAGAGAAATGATTCCTTTATGCTTGACTTCAATCAGATCACAGATGACTTTATTATCAAAGTATTCCACTGGTTCCCACTAAAACATACAAAAAGGAATTATACGTTACTTTAGATTATTTTCAATTTCGACGTGCTCATGCTTCAAGTAAAACATATTAAAAAGATATTTATACTGACAACAGTGGTCAGAGAAGCAGATAATACGCTAGCACCTAATTATATAAAATAGCTTTYCAATCACCCGGTATGGTTAACACTACGACATAAGCAGAAGCATAAGTCAGAACCGCAAAAACACAAGAAAAGAATTGAGGCTAAGCATGAGCGACAATAGTCATAGACATAAGCATAACAATAAACACAATACTAAGCATAAGCTAGTTGGAGACAAAAACAACAACCAGAACACCATCATTTTGTCTTATACCGTKGTGCGTGCGTCGGCCCTAACAATACCAAAAGGAACAAGAGTAACACTAAACCAGGGGTTGGTTTCACTACGCGCATTACACTTCGACGTTTGACCGATTATCACAGTAGTTCAAACAAGTTGTTTCTGCATCATAGAGTACTCCATCCTGTATTGGATACGATCTACCGTACCTCAATGCCTTCATTCCTGTATTCTTGTTGTTCTTCTCTCAACGTTAGTTCTATAAACAGCTGTTGAAGCTTCTCGTTACAGTAGTTGATACAGAACTGCTCGAAACTAAACAACGAATAAGTGTATCAGTAAAAGTAATTTCATGAACAGCATTAGGGAAAGTGAACGCATGATAAATCCGTGAAACGAATATCACTAAATACTACTACATAGTATTGATAAGACAAGGGAAACGAGACCTCTATTTTTGTTTCACGGATTGTGYGCGTATACTTTACWCAGTCTAGTTTCCTCTGGTAAACAAAATCACTTACAGTGSCTWTTGAKGTAATTTTATCGAGCCCATATCGCACGAGTAAACAGAACGCAAATCTACAGCGATATCACGGCGAGAGATCGCCTGTTTATCGCCGCAAATTTAAWGCAACTCGCTGTGTTTCCCCAATTTGTGTATAAAATCACCGTGCATTAATACCGCAGGGGCGTATCCAGGATTCTCATTAGTGGGGTCCTTACATACCAAATTGTCACTGTGACGTCATATGACGTCATATCAATCTATGGTTTTCCCGCTTTTTTGTCTTTGAAAGGGGGGTCACGGGCACCCTATTATCCCCCCTGGATACACCCCTATACCGTATACATATATATGAGAAGGGACAGCACAAAAGGAGGCTAAAGAATTAAGACCCTTTTGATGCAGCGAGTGAATTAATTGCGTCTTTTGCAAGACTGCATTTTTCCAGCTAGACACAAGACCCCTTTTGTGATGTTCCCTCTCATATGTTATATATGTACGATAATATCTGGTTTTATAGGGGTATCAAACCTGTTAGCCTCAAAGATCTCAAATCCATAGATATCCAGTAAACCCATCAAAGAAACTGGTCCTCTGTACTTCTAAAGATAATTAAAATACAGCAATTAATCAATTGAAATCTGAGAAAAAAAGCAGCTCGAGAAAGAATAATATGATATACCTCTTACAAATCAAAGGAGTGTAAAAAAACGACCATTTTCTATTATCAATTTTTTCCCATTGAAAACTCCATCATATAAAATATAATGCTTCTTGTGTGAAACTATTTTATTCCGTTCAATCTATGCATGAGGTACGTATAGCCATACGGAAAATTGAAAAGGAAAGATGCAAACTTGAAAATGTTCGGTGTCTTACCATCATTTCCAAAGAGCTGTTGATACTTCGTACTATCCAGGTGAATAGTCGATCGTAGATGGCTTTAGCAAGAGCATCGCGTGCATACAGACCTTGTTCGTACGTTAGAAACGTTTTCATCTACAAAACACGTAACGTTACATAATATTAGAAACTGAAAGGCAAGCTTGTAAGCACGGTTGGATGGGCTCACTAACCAACCGTTCTTCAATTGTGTAAGTATGGATGTCAAAAGCTTCTTGCAGTTTGTTTGTTTGTTGTTTTTTTTTTTTGTTTTTTGTTTTGCTTAAACTGGCATGCACTAATCGATGATTTACATTCACAGCCTTTTTTGCCGTTTTACAAACAAACTATTTTTAGAGTTTGTTTTTGGCAAATTAGATTATGGATTCTTTTAATAACTGTTTCAATGGAAATGAAAGAAGTTGTCAAGTAGACACACCTTTTCACCTTTGGCTTCAACTGTACGCGATGTAAGAGCGACTTCCAGTACATCCTCCGGACATCCTAGAAGCTACAGAGATTATCACATATTATTATCACTAATCTTTTCTAACACTATCCACCAATAGTTCTCGAAGTAATTATACGCCTGACAATCTCTATACGGATGTGAATGGTATCATTATTCCAGCGTGTCGGTACTGGAGTCTTACGAAGGTGGGCGTGGCAACAAAAGATACCAGTTACTGCAACACGTTAATAACTGGATATAAACAAACAATAAAAACAATACTTTTAAAAGCTATCGTTGCTTAAATATTGTTGTTATATATAATAGTTTTCTTGACGAAACATATCAAACTAGACGCTCTTAGAGCGTGMATCGGGGCTACTAYWTTTACRCTCATTCATTATATTATCATTTAGATTGATTACTCCATCTTCAAAACCCATTCATTCATACATTTATARTGTTATAACCTTTGAAATGATGTTAACAGGTCGAGCGTTCTCCAGCTCTATTTGATGGTGATCTGTACCAGGCTTTTCTCTGAAGGAAATCGAGCCAAGATGAAGAACCGATGCTACGATTGAAAAAAGAGCGTCTTGTTTCTCGGCTGACATCTCGATAACTGACAATGCATTCTTGACGACCTTGAAATCATTCTTGTCGTTTATAGATGACACTTTAACGCACTCCCCCTGAAGAAAATAATTCCACTAAATGAATTCCCTATAAAATTACTAAGATTATATTAAATAGTACTATTTAAATACTGTTTTTATAAGGGTGCAATGAAAAGCTCACAAATATTAGACGCACATTACTACTCAACGTGGCTATTACACTCTTACAACAACATCAACAMTGTAATATCTTTATAATAGTCATAACAATTAAGAATCTTTAATTTCTGGAAGACAAATAATGCTAGTACGAGTCTTGAGACGACAAACTATTATTGGCTAGTAGATGTGAGAAAATATACTAAACCTAAGGCATCAGAACAGTATTGACTATAAGTGACATTCTAACAACGTAAGCAGGGCTGGGAAAGGAGCTACATAGCCAGCAGTCCTCCCTCACTCCCTACCCCAAAAAACKTAACCAACACATTAAACGTAGGTGAAAAGAAAAAACAAATAGAAAATAATGTCCTATTCATCTGACCAGACTTCTTGGCTTTGTTCATTACCCATCTGGGAGCCCCCTGACATTGAGGTGCTACATAGTACACCCTTGTCCTAGTATGGSGCCTTTCTTACCTGATTCAGGTAAACATAGTTGCTAGGGTCTCTTTCTAATTGTAATTTTTCAAGAAAACTATCATCRCCTCCTTGCAAAAGTTGATAAAAGATGTGGAAATTCCTTTCACCTAAAACAAGAAAAACAAAGAAGGTTAGCCTTTGTCAATGAAGAGATTACTGACAAACTCTTGGAGGATAGGAAATTACAGCCACTTAACCAGAAACTGGTTCATCTGACAATCAAACTATTCAAAACACACTAAATTACGGTTCTGCATGAAGGGGTTTAACAAATCTGCTCCATAATAATTTTTTTTTTCACTTAATGCTGGACGGAAAAATGAGTGACAAACCACACCACAGTTAAAAGGCATAGCTCTCATTAAATGCTGCAAAATGTGTGATGAAATCCCGGGGGAGGGGGGAACTCCCCTATAAAACATGGTAGGCATGCTCGATGGACGGATTGAAAAATGATCCTAAAAGGTACGCATAAATTAATTCAGGTATCGATTCCAGACCCTAAAAGGTACGACCATTTTTGACGCCAAATTTAACAAACTGTAGAAAATCAATGTCGATAGATTGTTGTGGTTAATAAAATCTATTTCTTTATAACACTTCTTCAATTTTTTTCTCTCGTTGTTCGAAAATTGAAAGTTACGGGGTCACCTCAGGGTGCTAAAAGGTACATGAGGGTTTTATTTTCGACCCTAAAAGGTCCGTCAAGCATACCTAACAACGTTTATAAGGTCCCTCCCCAGGGATGAAATAGCTGCCATTTACATCATTTTACTGCAACAACAGTATGGCAGATCTAGGATTTTTCAAAACAGGTTCTAGATTTTCCACTTCTTTGCTTTTAATCTATCAGTGCTGTTCATTTGATTGCAGATTATAAAACTTGTCTTAATTTCAGTCGAATAAAAACAGGTGCACCTGACCCTATTTACCACTCCCCCCCCTCCCCCCTGTATACCCACCACACAAACTGAATGTTGTGCATTGTTTCTCATTCTCAGTTAATTAGTGAATTACAGTATTTCAAACCTTTGGCTTGATGGACAACTCTGCATTTCTCAAGAAGGTAGTTCAAGATGTGACCTCCAAATGGTGCTCCCTATAAATTAAAAGAAACATCAATTTTAGATAACATGACGTTGGATTTCTTGATCAGAGATCATGTTAGAAATGATATAATGACTAATTAATAAAATTTTAATACATTATTGATATGATGATGATAATGATGATGCCTAATGATAAAAATCATGATAACAAGGGACAGTAGATACTAAGTGTCTTATTCGATCGATCAATCGATTCAATCACATAACTGGCTTCCTATCAAATTTAGGATTGACTTTAAAATTTTACTCGTTACTTTCAAGGCACTGAATGGTTTTGCCCCGTCTTATATTAAGGATCTTATAACTGTAAAGCCTATATCCAGATACAGTCTTAGAAATAGCCATGAACTCCTTCTGCAGCGTCCCTGAACAAGAACACTTTCAACTTTAGGCGACCGATCGTTCTCAGTATCCGCACCTTTCTTATGGAACAGTCTTCCCTTTTGTATACGTAATCTCTCATCGATCTCCGAATTCAAGAAGCATCTTAAGACCTTCTTGTTTGAAAAGGCGTTCCCAAGATAGTCAAGCCACTTTTATAACTATATATATTGTAAATAGTTGAATTTTTATCTTAGTATTCTAATGTTATGTAATGCCCATGCGAGCATCTTCCCATGGAGTATGRGCAATATAAGTAATAAATTATTATTATTATTATCATTATTATTATAATACCTTGAAGTCAAATTGAATATCCATGTACTTGCCAAATCTACTGGAATTATCATTTCTATTGGTCTTTGCATTGCCAAATGCCTGTGTACAAACAGAACATAAGTCAAGTATATAAAAAAACACTGTAATATGGATAATTCTAAAAGGGTTAAAAGATAATGGATGTGAGGAGATGAAGATCAACATAAATTGCATGCAGGCTCAGCCAGGTCTTACTCATGCCAAGAACTGGCCTATATCCCTAGCGAGAGCAGAAAGACAGTACAGTTTTATAGGGAAAGTGAAGAAGTGTTCAGGCAAGCATTATATTCCAGATGTGTGCAGAGAGAAAGATAGAAGGGATGTGGAAGTTGGGTGTCTTCTTAAAGTGTCAGTTCACAATTTGCAAACCTAACCTCTAAAACTGGATTTGACTTAAGCAGCCTGTCTTTGACTCTTTTGACTTCTGTAGTTGAGGTGCTGATGGCAGCGAGGTATTCAAGGATTCTCTTTGACGCCTCTACAATAAAACCAAACAATAGAAATATTGACTGCCAATGATTATACTATGATGGTGACGATTATGATGATTTTAATCCTAAAATAAGTTCATGTGTTGTTAATGACCGCCTATCTGATGATGATAATTGTAACCATAGTGATGATAAACATGATGACGATGATGACTTACCAGTCTTGCCAGCTCCACTTTCACCAGAAATCAAAATACATTGATCACGGCGTTCCTCCTTCATGGAACGATAAGCTTCATCTGATATAGCATAACTATTGATTGGGAAAAATAACCATTTACAATTTCTCCATGATGTATGTGAAACTTTATTTTCAATTTAGTCTGATGTGCTTAAAACCATGCAATATAAAGTAAAAAATAATGTTGATTATTATTTCATAAATGCTGGGTTACCCTGAGATATCAGAGTATAGTGTAAGTTCATAAAACTAATTGATGATTTCTGTCTCCAAATATTATTGCATGGACATTATAGTGTATCAAATTAAACTATTGAAACTTACTTCAATATAGAAATTATATTATTAAAGAAAAAAAATCACTTAAGTTGAACTTAGTCAACATTCTTGCTACTTGGTGTATATAAGTTACAGTAACTTAATTATCATTCACATTATTTTTTTCATTTTAATAAATATTTTTTTGGCATTGTTTTGTTGTCATAAGTGAAGTGACTTGCTAAACACATCAGAGGATAAAAGTACTGAATTTGACCCTTATCAAGYACAAAGTGTYSTTTTTTCRAATCATGGGAATGATTTAGCTAAAAAAAATTGTAATCTGATTATCATTGGAACAATGGTCTTTGGATAATTATATMCTGTTTATCAATTTTGTTGTAATATATCAGAATAATAAATAATACAACAAAAGTAATTTCAGTAGTAAGTTGAGCTTCATATATGAGTATACTATTTTGGGTCGGCAAGTGTGCTATTATGATTCACAAATCAATATCTTTTAAGTGAAGTATAGCAGCATTTCCACTGCTTTAAGTCTCAAGTGGTTTTTAAAAGGTTGTAAAATTTTATCAACCTCACTCAAGTTAGAAATCAAATAAAAGTTATATAAAGCAAATTTAGATTTAAAAAAATTAAAAATAGGCAAACAACTTTCAAGTATTTTTGTAAGTGATTGTGCATAATATGCCAAGTACCATATAATGTTATTTATAAATGATGACTCATTACTGTATATGCATGGAAAAATATTTAAAAATAGTAAGACTATAAATACAATAAATTATGAATATTAATTCTGAATTCTGTCCAAAATATGTCAGAATCTTTTTGGCTGCASTGACGAACAGGAAATTACTGTACGAGACAAAGTTGTTAGTGGTAAACAATATGCCATTGTTTCCATGTTGCATATACTTATATAATAGCGAAACAAGCATCATATACTCACTTAAAAAAGAATTTATGGATAAAAACATATTAGTTTAAACTGAAAGTACTTAAGATAAAAGATTTAATGCCTCAACGTGCCAAGACAAGAAACGTCTTTGTCAATAAAACGTGAGCTTATAAATTAAAAAAAATAGATTTGGAACAATCTTAAAACTAACATTATAAAATTTGCATTTTACTTCATTCACTGGATTATTTTTTTATGAAGTTATATAGAATATATAGAATATCTGAAGTTTGATGAAGTTAAGACGATTTGCAAAAGGTATAGTAATTGTCATTTTAGAAAAATATCGCAAGTTACAAAAGAGGTAACAAATTTATTTACAAAACAATTTTGCAAAAATGGGTCATTGATAGAATAAATTTAAGAGAAAAATTTATTTGATATCTTGACAGCAGATAAGATAAAATGTTATACTTACATGTGTGGTGGAAGTTCATAAAGATTTTCGCCGCGATATTTTTCAATGACATCGCTCGTGTAAATAGGCAAACTTTTRTAGGGATTTACAGAAACAACTACAGTTCCGATGTATGTCTAAGAACAATAACAATAAAACAAAACATAAATATGATACATTAAACAAAAGTYCATGGATTTTTATGTAAAAATAAAATAATTAAGCTTACTTGCAATTTATAAGCTCCGATAAGTCTTACATAAAATATTCCGGGCTTACACCTCGCTAAATAACAATAAGCTTAAATAAAGTGACAGATTCCGTAAACACAGCAGCAACAATTCAACATTAAAATGTCTATACCACGATTCAGAACAAATTTGGGGAGACTTCATATAGCTTAGGTTAATATTTTAACAGACCATTTTTGAATACACATACATAAATGAGATCGGAGTTGTAGCGCTTCTTCAAATTGTCCAAGAAAGCATCTTCGCTTTTGAAATCCTCCAACAAGACAAAATCTTGAACCCCCGCAGTATCTCGGGCATGTAGCTCGCTCTCCATAGTGATGCAGTTTGCTGTAAGCAGAGAGCTTTTCTTCTGTTAGAAAAAAGACTGTAAGTGGAATTCATTGTAGACAAATCATTATAAACACAGTCACTTCAAGCCGCAACCCGCCGCCGGCTCAAGGCAGCAAACCTACTCATTAACTGCCGATTTTAACATGTCAAAATTCATCCATCTGAGATGCAAGAGACTTAGTTTATAGCTTACCTTTGGAATAAGTAGTGGTCAGTCACGATTTTAGTGTAGAAGAGAATCAAAGCCTCAACTGTAGTGACTTGGGTTTAACCTGCTTCATAATTGCGACCGCAGTGGGGGCGGAGTCGGGATGTAAACCAAATCCCGCAAAATTCCCGAATATGTCTCGAAATGTCCTCTCCCTTTTTGCGGGTCGACTGAGTTTAAAGGTTAATCTAGCATCATAGTTAATATTCTCCCTCTATCAACTATGCTAGCATCAATAAAAAAAGATGAATATTGTTTTTTAAGAGAGAACATTCAATAACTATATCCATAAATATTCTTAGTCAACTTTTCAAATAAAATAGAATGAAATTATAAATTAAAACAAAACCATTCAGAGTATCGTGACAGTGCTCGTCGACAGCTTTATCATTGTGACGTGAGACCCAACCGGAAAGGAGGCGTTCGAAATGAAAGAACAAAATACTGATATCCGTCTGTTCGTCTCGTAGCTGAACGATCCTCATTTAGACGGAGCTGTATATTAACTTTGTTCAGTTATAAAGGCATAAAGACAACAGCAATGTCATTTGCATAAAAATTTAAAAGTTCCCAGGAACGATTTTTAAAAGTTTACAATTCCAGATAAATAGCGAATTTAAAATGTCATTGATATTTCAATGAATGATGGCATCATAAACATTCTTGCAAAGAATTTAAGAATATTATATATGCAAATGATTTTGTTGTTTTTCTGTTCAATGGAATGACCGAATGACGTACTGGAGGTGAGTAGAGATAGGAAAGTTGATGAATGTGCCCAATGATTATAAAGAATAAATAATAAACAGAAAACAGTTTGATTCATGGCAAGCATAGATTTTCGAACAAATGATTTTTGTGCGCATGCAGAGGCTATKTCCACTTRACGCATGCGCGACATGGATAATGAGTRGGAATAACAATGAAAATGCACGGGCTTCATTGCAAAAGAACGCCATGGGTCGATACTGATTGGCTGCAGTAGKTCTATTGTTTTATTGTATCTATTGTTCTAGTATTGTATTTATTGTATGTATGTTTATTGGTTAGTCATTTACCTCAAGACKYCTTTTTACATAACATCGAACGCACGTTTGAAGAATTGCAAAACTTCAAAGACAGTTTGTTATCGTAAAGTAAAGTGAGAGAAAATGCCTTTTGAACTTTTCAAGAAAAAAGAAAAGGTCGTCGACCAGGCAAAGACGCAATTTAAAGAAATCAAGAACTCGTCGGTAAAGAAAGGCAAAGATGTTGTTAATACAATTAAAGAAGGTGCATCGACCGACGTTATCAAGTCCACCGTCAAAGAAGCCCCGAAAAAGTCATTGGGATTAATTAATAATAACCAAGARGAAATCGAAAAAGGCAGCAATCTTGTTTGTCCAGGAGGAGGTCTTGCAGCTCATGTAGTCATCGAAGGCGTYAAAGTTGCCAGCAAGCATAAATAATGAGTAATACAAAAACGCTACCGATCGATATAGTCGACTTTCTACTGAATATTGCTTCGCAAATCAGAAACATTCTATTTTAATTTGTATAYTACTGCATCGGGGACTTTGTGTAACTATTTTAAAACACTTTTGAGCCAGAATTTCCTTTGATGACATTCAACTGTAAAGTATTTTTAAAATTCAATAAAGTTTGATTAGTGCAATGTAGCATTATGTCACGTTACAAGTGGGGTTGTGTACACAAGGCAAATAATAACGAATTCGATTCGTAACTAAGCATTTTGCCTTGTAAAAATGTTTTTTTGTTAATAAACTAACTAACGAAGACCACGTGGCTAATTTGCATAACAAAGCCATCATGGCGGCTCATCGTGCGGCATACTCTTGCACAAAGACCTTACTAAAACCAAAGGAAACAAAGAATAAAACGTTGTCGACAGTAGCCCTACAAATTAATTTTTTTCCWAAGTTGAGCCATTGAGGATGCATTCCCAGCTCGCAGAACCCTTTAAACTTTTAATAATTATCAGAAGAAAAAAATCCGCAAAAAAAATACTTGCGACTCATGAKAGTCGTTATTCGCCCCATGTGAGAGAATCCAGATCCAGTAAAATRAACAGCTTTGGAATCCGGAATCAAAATATTTGGAATCTAGAATCCAGCAAAAATTTTGAAATCCAAAAAGCACGGCCTGAATCCAAAAATAAAAATTCTTTGGAGTCCTGAATCCAGCGCTTCGAATCCGCAATGCTCTAGTTCTCTGGATTCTCTTACATTGGGYGACGYTATCAAAATAAAAGAAAGGCCTGTTAATTCGTGGAGCTCATAGAGCAAAATTCCAGACGATCAAATGTTTACAACGAATGGAAGAGTTTATATCTTAAGTAAATGTTGCTTATTAATAGTCTTATGATCGACGGGTTGGTTTAGTTGCATAGCTTCAGGTGTCTAAATGCMACACTGTTTTAAATAATGACAGAGAGGCGGTATTTCATATGCTGAATGCGTCGTTTTATAGGCTTTGCCGCCATCATTGTTGTGCCGCTTTAGAGAGGTGCATAGATGAGGACGGAGTTTGATTTGAAATTCCGTGGAAATACTGCTAGAGAAAACGATCAATATGAAGGATGCACAAAAACAATAAATTTTACAAGTTCCATTCTGTCTTGAGTTTAATTTACGGCTTCAGCGCAAAAAGTATTTTACAGTTGAATGTCATCGAAGGAATTTCGTGCTCAAAAGTATTTTAAAATAGTTACACAARGTCCCCGATACAGTAATATACAAATTCAAATAGAATTTTTCTGATTTGCGAAGCAAGGTTCTGTAGAAAGTCGACTATATCGATCGGCAGAGTTTTTGCATTATCATTATTTATGCTTGCTGGCAACTTTGACGCCTTCGATGACTACATGAGCTGCAAGACCTCGTCTTGAGGTAAATGACTAACCAATAAACATACATACAATAAATACAATACTAGAACAATAGATACAATAAAACAATAGACCTACTGCAGCCAATCAGTATCGACCCATGGCGTTCTTTTGCAAGAATGACCGTACATGTTCATTGCTATTCAGAGTTCCCAGACAAAAAAGTAATATATAAAAATAAACACATCAGTCCAGCTACTGCCGGGGTTGAAATCCCAGACAGTTTTCCAGTATATTCTATTTAGGCCCTCTTTACATGAGATAGGGTACCCCTAGGTGTAGAGCCAAACTCTTTTATTTTAAATCCTCCAGGGAAAATCCCTATCTCATGTAAACATGGCCTTACTGGAAAATTTAATTGCCAGGTTTAATGACATTCTAATTGTAATGCAAATTATCCATGGTGTCYGCATCCAGGGGACAAAAAGCATCAAAGCAGGTTTGCGATACAATTTTGTAGTTTTCAGGAGGATCCGACGGGGCCTGCTCTTCTAAATAACTGTTCTTGTACGATTTTTTTTTCCCGGAAAAGGGGTTTTGACGAGTATTGTTGACAATCTCACAAGCAATTGTGGCGCCCTTCCTTCTTTAAAATGATTTAAGGTCAAAAAAGGCTTATATAACGTTTTTATCGTCAAAAATTCTTAGTAAGTATTCCTTGCCTGGAGAGTTCTTCCGTTTCGTCTAATTTGCTGCGACCTGGAATAGTACGTGACTAATTTGCACACAAAACCATGATGGCGGCTCATCGTGAATTTAGGCATATCATA